CCCACATTAATGCTGAACTCAGACTTACAGACTGCTTCATGCTACGTTCTGCAAGTTCACCCTTAGTGTAGTGCCAATTTTCGATTTTTTTTCCTTTAAAAATTATAATTTTAAATTTATATAAATATATATTATGGCCTCCTGCAATATAATTTTAATTAATTTAACGGAACTTGGCCATTAGCCGGGTGGGACGGACTGCTATCTGCTAATGTTTGTAACCTGAATTCTGATAATTCTGATAAAACACTGATAAGCCTTATAGTAATTCCTATGTCCGTATTCATATTTATTGTAAACCAAAACAAATGTAATAATAAAAAAATACTTTTATTTTTTAAATTTAAAAATACTTTTATCCATTGCTCAGTAAAACCCTCCCTATATGAAGTCTACTTCAACCACTTTGACAGACCCTCCAATTTTTTTTCTTGACCTGTAAAACATGTCATGGGCACAAACCTCTCTTAGACATTTGTTCCACGTTACCATAGCTCCCTTGGATAGTTTCAGCTGCTCTTTGCCCCACTTTATTTTTGATAAATTATGGGATCGCCTATAAATTTTAAAGCCTTTAAAAACAAAATCCTTGACCCCTCTAAAGACGTTCCTTTCCTTATTGAAACTTTTATGTTACAAGTGCTACGACTATTTCGCGTCCATGTCTCATTTCATTTGATGACCTCGTTCACACAATTTCACGTTTGTAATTATCCCAACGTTTTGAAAATATTCAATAGCCTGTTCTTCTGAAGACGGTAATTCCCAGAATGTCCATAATTTGACGGATATAACACAAACGGGCCAAAATAAAGAATTTAATAACTGAATGTAATAACTGAAAAATAAACAATGTAATAACTGAAAGGTTTGGCGAGATAAGAAGAGGCAGGTTATGTGACGTAATGTTAGATAACAAAGATAGCAAGGGAGGTTTCGTCCCGCCCGGCAAATGTACCAGTACCAATTTAACATTTAAGTTAATTTCATTTTCTTTCAAAAATTAATAATTAATAAACTCATTCATAGATTTTTTTTTTTTTAACTTGATTCTTCAACTCACACCTGTCAGAAGTTCCGACAATCAGCGAGTGTGATGTCGAAATGTAAACATTGGTCTTGGAACAGGCGTGAGGGAGAGGAGTTCCCAGCGGTGTCCTTCCTGTCTTGAGCATAATATTTATAGTTAATGGAGGAGATCCCTCTTCCAGCTTCTTTTAAGCCTTCTTCAGGTGCCATCGGGCATGTTAGTTGTGGCCATGCCTCGAATCAATGAGTTGGTATGTCCGTGGAAGTTATTATGAAATCTTTTGTAGCATGTTCGTATGTGGTCGTTAACTGTTGGCATCTGTAAGTCTTTATATAGAGTAATGTTACTGACGTACCAGGGAGCCTTGGTGATAGTCCTGAAAGTTTTAGATTGAAAAGTCTGTAATTTACGTATGTGAGTCTTTTTGGCTGTTCCATATATCTGTGAAGCGTAGGTCCAAATAGGCTTGAGTAGGTAAGTATATGTATTCAATTTCTGTCTAAGTTTTAATTTCGAATTTCTTGCAAGGAGTGAGTACAATAGTCGTAGTCTTAGGTTTAGAGTTTTTGTTTTGTTTTTGATATGTGGCCCCATGTCATTCTTCTGTCAAAGGTCAGTCCAAGATGTTGAACTTTGTCTGTCTGAGGAATTTGAATATTGTCAAGGTATATAGGGGGGCAAGTTTCACGTCGAAGTGTAAAAGTGAAGTAAAATAATAATCAAAAACTATGTACAATAAAAAAATAATGATGTAGAGATGCTTGACCGTTGATAGGATATGAGAAGGAGTTGATCGAGGGGTGCTGTTAAATTAATACTAAATTAAACAAGTAGAATTATTTAATTTTTGCTAACGTTTCGACTCACTTTGCAGGTATTCATCAGGGCTAGAAGAAAAATACACACACACACTGATAACACTGGTACCAAAATTCTCAAATTTATTAATTGTTAAATTCTCTGGTGAACATTATTCTATAGGAGAAAGCAGACTTGCAGTAATTTACCAATGCTATCCAATTGTTTCTATTTAATAAATCAATTACTTGATCTCGATATAAATTTCTAGACTTTAACCATTTAATTCTAAATTCAGAGAGTATCGGACAAGCAGCCAGGAAGTGATAGAGATCTTCTGTTTCGTTTGTATTACACATGCTAAAATTATTATTTGTTTGCTGGAAGTGTTCATAATTTAAGTTCAAAACATCAGCTCTAATTTTAATTACCCATCTGGTCAACTTCAATGAGCTTTTGTCGTCAATATAATTTACTGAAGTTAAATGAGGATAAAAAGTGAAAGTTTTAGAATTCTGAATTTTAATTTCATATTGATTATATAAGTCTAAAGAACATGATTTCTTATACAAATAATTCAAAATATGTCTTCGTGTTAGTCGTTTCCCGCACTTAATAAGAAAGCTTGCATTTTAAATAAACAATCACTCTTATTATAATAAATATAGGCCCATCTGTAATTAGATATATATACATACATATCACTAATAAAATAAATATAAAAACAAAAACTCATAATAAAACAAACATTAACCGAATTAATTTCCTAATGACAAAACCACTGGTAATAACAATTCAGTTGGTAAGGGATGGTATCATTTCTGGAATAGAGTACATATTGGCTACGGATAATAAAAATAAATAAATAGATAAACATTTTTTATTCTGTGTTGAACGTGAATTTTCATCACCACTCAAAAAGCATTGTGAGTAGACAAAATTTGTTTTTCTTAATTTCTAATTGTTCTATTAATGATATTGTATTTCTTTTAAATGTATTTTATTTTCTAATTATCATTGACACACTCCTCGCTATGTGTATATATACTTTATTTTATTTTTTTCTTCTTCTAATCTTTACGTGTAATCACTTAATTATCTTAGGGAACATATGTATATCATTTTTTTTACAATTTATTTCTTTATATATCAACAGTTATTTTTATTTATTTTTTTAAATTTTATATTCCATCACTACAATGCTTTGCTTATAAAATTAATTTTGTGTTCCTTTCAAATTTCATTTAGTGATAATTGTGATATTGTTTTAGCTCCAATATTGTAGTATTGAACCAATACTACCCAACTGTTCTCGTTAATATATCCTAAGAGCTATTATACTTAATTTATTACTAGTATTTTGTTGTTATTCATTGTAATAGATATTTTGGCCAGATTTATTGTTAATTTATACTAGCAATACTGTTATTCTAAAGGGATCTAGTCCCAGAATAAAGATGATTTTTCTTTTTCTTCTTCTAAATATATATGGTACTCTTTCTCTGTACTGCCTATATTGAAGATGTTCTCTACATTAACATAAGGAGATGAATCGAATATACATTGCTGGAGGTACCTCTCTTTATGTACTTTGGATGATAGACACTGGAGAAGAAGATGGTGTAGGCTGTTAAATATATATTGTTTACAGGCAATGCAGATTTTTTCATCTTGTATAACGTAAGGTTTATTTCACAGGCATTTACTTATGGTCTGCGGGTTCGAGACTCAAACGGCTGACAACTGTACTGTGTATACAAGTATTAAAAATTAAATACACTTCAGGAGTAAAATCTAGGCGGCTGAGAGTTCTGTAGACTGGGTTATTATTTGAATTCCGGGCTCTATTGAGGTCTTGAGATAGAAGATGGTTTTCCAATTTTTCTATAGTGCTCTCCTGGTTTTCCATTCCCGTTTCGTAGATCTCTTTCAGTTCATTGAGATTATTAGTTGCTGTGGCCAGATTGTGAACTTGTAAGACCCAGTTAAAATCAATGTTGTCAATTACTTGTCAATTCTTAGTCTATTGAAGCACATCGTGGGTACTTGTTCTCTGGTAGCGTTGCGAGTTTTATCCAGAGGTTGACTACTGTTTTATTATCATAATTCTCGTCGTCCAGGACGTAGTCCAGTCGCCAGTCTAACTATATAATTCGTTATGCTTTTAGGCCAAATGAGGAAATTCGTAAGAAATTTTTAGCTGGATAACTTCGAGTGCATCTAAACAAATCAAACTCCATATCTCGGCAGCATAAAGCAATGTGGTTGAAACCGTTGAATCAAACAATATCATTTTTGTTTGCCTTGAGGCACTCTTTCCTTTTCTAAGGATTTCTAATACCCTACCACTTGCCACGGATTCCCTTTGAATAAAATGTTTAGATAATTTTCGGAATTTCCCAGAATATGAGAATGGAACCCTTAGATAAGTATAGCTGTTTGTGTATTCTAGTTGAGAATTCTGGTAATAGAGAGGTTAGAGTGTCTTAGTTTTAGGAGACTTGTGAAATACAACTGTTTTTTATTTTGCTTGGTTTAAGGTTAAGCCGTTGATCCTGCAGTATTATTCGAGAATCCTTAATTTCTTTTTTGCACGATCCCAGGTAGTGTCAAGAAGGAAAATGTCATTTGCAAACAACAACATTGTTAACAACTCAGTGTATCCGTAAATTAAATTTTACCATCTATCCCAAAGTTACCCCTTTTTACAGTTATTTCTTTACACAACTTGAGATTAATCTCATAATTATTCCTAATAAAACTCAATTTTATTAGTATGAACTTAAAGCTTATTAAACGAGGAATTTATGGCTTATTCTATAACAGAACTTGGCTTAGTTTAACTGCTCAAAATTCCTCCCTAAATGGTTTTAAAAATTTTTATTTACACTTAAGTTACTTATGTGTTAATAGAAATTAAAATATAAAAGTCAAAATTTAAAAACTATGGTTCCACTATTGAGTACACTGAACCAACTTGGAAGACCTTAAAGTTCATAAATATTAATATAAAAATAATAATGCAATTATTTTTTTCAGGATTATGAAATTAGTAAAATGTAATCCAAATACACCGGGACAAAGAAGAGGCAGATACAGATTTGAGGGTTGACATCTGAAGAATTTTGACAGAGAATGTATTACTTATATACAGAAAAAGCATTACTTTCAAATGAAATTATATTATATGTAACTATATTACATTATATATTATATGTACAATTATATCGCGATAAGTATGCTTTGAAAGTAAATCTAAATCAAAATAATAAATATTAAAATACTAATAACAAAGTTCTTTATAAATTCACGTTATTGTTTATTTTATTTTAAGGTGAAGTTCTAATTAGTTAATAAAACAATCTAGTTTTTATATATTATTAATTATGTATTATAATATTGTTCATGTTACTATACTGTGATAATATAGTTAATCTGAAATTCTTTACCTGCAAACATAAAAAATTATCGATAACCTTACTTAAATAAATTTACTTAACCCATATTATTAAAATTGTTTACAAGAGAAAAGTACTGAGCCTATTTAATAATAATAATAATAATAATATATATATATATATATATATATATATATATATATTTTTTTTTTTTTTTGCACTTGCTTTAATATATTTAATAATTTTATTATCCTTGCTACAGGTCAGCACAACCCTTGGCCTTCCCACTGAAGTGTGCTTCCAATACTTTCCTCTGCGACCGTTCATTCTCCGTTCTGATCACATGTTCTGCCCATCTCAGCTTACTTACCTTGATATAGTTAGTAATGTTTTGATTCTCTAATATAGCCTCGATTTCTTTGTTACTTTTGATTTTTCACTCAACATTAACACCTGTAAATCTTTCTTATTATTTTCCTTTTGAATACTTTTAGTTTACGGCAATCCTCTAGCAAGAAACACCAGATTTCCGCTCCATACTGGCCTCATAAGCGTTTTTTACAGCTTTAATTTTGTGACTTTTGACAACTATGGAGACTTGAAAAGTTTTAGGTTTGTATGGTAATGTCTATCACCATTATTCTGTTGTCTATTTCTCTGCTGATTACATTTTCATTATTTAGGGCAGGACCAAGATACACGAATGTGGGTACATTTTCGAACTTAAAATTCTTTATTCTGATTTCAGGATCTGCAGGATCTTCTTCTATTTGCTGCCAAGGACAGATTCAGGTATTTAGTTTAGTTTTCATTTGCCACAAGCCCTACTTTATTGCAATTTTCGAATATTATCGGAAATACCTCTTTAAGAGCCTTTTCACTTCGGGATCACCAAGTCATCAGCGTACTCAAAAATTTGCCAGGTCTTATCAACGATAGTGCCTTTTTAGCAGCATGCAGAGCTATGAATAGCGTTGCCGATAGGGCATCTCCTTGACGTACTCCAGACTGTACCATGAATAATTGACCAGCTTCATTTCTAATAACAACTTTAGATAATGTATTTTCCATTTAGATGCGTATTAAATTAATTAGTTTATGTGGCACTCCATTTTTCATTACAATTCTTAACAGTACTGATCTCTTCAAGCTATCAAATGCTAGATTGTAATCAACGATTAATAAGTGCAGATCAATATCATATTCGTAGCATTTTTCCACCATTTGTCTTATAACAAAAATTTGATCTGTATTACCAAGGCCAGTTCTAAAACCACACTGGTAATCATCTAAAATTTCCTCAGCATATTTTCGCAGCCTTTTCAATATTAAATTATAAATGAGTTTATACAGGACTCCCAATAGGATTATTTCTCTATAATTTGTGCACTGATCCTTGCTGCCTTTTTTTAAGAATAGGACATATTAATCCAATCCTCCAGTCATCCGACATCTTTTCCTCTCTCCATACGTCTAAGATTAACTCAGATATTAGGGACTTCATTTTACCACTGCAGGCAGCATTTGATCAATTCCGCACCTATGCTGTCCTCACTGGGAGATTTACAGTTCTTCAAGTCCATGATGGCAAACTCGATATCCTCTCGGTCAGGATCATCAACTAGCGGTTGTGGTTGCCACACCTGACGTTCTTCTCCACTCTCAACATCCTCCACCTTTAGATCAATGTTCAGCAACTCCGAGAAGTGTTCGGTCCACCTGTTCATCACTTCTTCTCCATCCAAAACCTCTCCTGTTTCATTTTTACAACTATTCAGCTTCAGCTAAAATAGAGATGGTCTTTCCTTAAACAATTAATTTCTGTAACGTTTCTATATTTTCAAGCCTTTTACAAATAATTTTTCTCTTTTCCTCTCTACACACTTTCTTAGCTGCTCTTCTTATCATACTGTAGTTCTCCTGGTTTCCTCTGTAACATCTCCTGCCTTCATCTATCTTCATGATCATGTTGGCTTGATTTTTCTCTTCAATGAATTTCGAACATTCTTCATTGAATCATTCGTCATTTCTTCCAATTTGTAATTTCTCTTCCGTTGCATTGCCTATAAGCCTACTTTACAACTTTCTATTTCTTCTCAATTGGCCCACTTTCCTAGCTTTCATCTTCTGGCTTGTTTTCCTCTAACTTCCCTCTCTCTATTTCTCTATCCATAACCTTTTGTAAATTCTTCAGTTCGTTCTCTACTTTTAATTTTTCGGTGTCCCATTTCGTTCGTTAATATTTTTAAATTAGTTATACATCGTCGATTTATTCCAAAAAATACTTCCTTTGTGAAATCACAACATTATACACATAGTGTGACGACCTTTGACATATTGATGCTGTTTTTAAAAGCAAATAACTGTATTTTGGTAAATTTTTCAAAAGTAAAAAATAAGAATTTAAATAACTGTAAAAAGTGATAGAGATTTTATTCCTTTAATTTTTATAATGTAATAAAATCCCTACTTATACCTAATAAAATATGTGTACTTTCAAATTTCTCTTTCTATATATAGCTCACAGGATGGAGTTTTATCATTCAAATAGACTGAGGATTTTATATTGGCTACAATCGATATAATAAGTAAGGGTTTCTGAGGGTTTGTGGTTTCTGAAAGAAACCATATTCCAAGAATGGCAAAGACAGTGGGACAACAGCGCACCTAGCAAATTAAAAACAATAAAGAAAGAGGTGCAACCGTGGACCAGCTCCAGACGCAGCAGTCGTAGAGAAGAGGTCGTCCTCACGCGGCTGAGGATCGGACATACTAGACTGACTCACCTCCACCTCATAACAAAAGATTCTATCCCCCGATGTCAAAAGTGTAACCAATCACTTACTATAAAACATATTTTGGAAGAATGGCCTTTTTACACCGCAAGATTAAAAGATTTTGGAATACCTCAGAATATATCAGCATCCCTGGGAAATCAAGAAGAAATAGTTACCAAAGTCATCAAGTTTCTGGATAGTGAAAGACTTAAAAAACACATTTAACAGGCTTTTTTTTATTCATTAATCTCCTTTTTATCTATTTATTTTTATTATTTTTTATTTATTTTTTTTTTATTTTATTTTTTTTTTACTTGATTTCATTTCATTTTAAATTCATTTGTTTATTAATCTCAATTCATTTATTGATTCTACTGCTATTTTTAAAAGTTTATTTATACATTTTTTATAATCTTATTACCTATAAATGTCTATTATTATCCTTATTTATTTATTTTATTCTATCAATCCATTTCTTTATTTATTTTTATTTTATTTTATTTATTTATTTATTTTTTTTTTTTGTACCAATCATCCAAATAGTATTAAATGATGTTATTTAGTTGATCGGGCGCTTATGACCTGGATGTTTTGCGCCTAGACATCGAAACAAACAAACAAACAAGTAAGGGTTTGTGCTATTTTGATGATCTTAAATTTTTTTGCGTTGATGAATATGACCGAAATTTATAAATATGTTATTTTACTTTTAGCTCTACTAAAAATTCGTTTCAATAACTTCTTGTATTAAATCGAATTTGAGTGACAAGAAACAAAATATTGAGCTGTTTAGCGTGACCTATACCTCCATGTTCATTGAAAATAATCTTCAATATTGCATTTTAATTTGTTTATATCAAATAAATAAACATCCATTTATATATATATATATATATATATATATATATATATATATATATATATATATATATATATATTGTTTATTTCATTAACTTATTCAAAATATAAAATTATATGCAAACAAAATATGCTTTGAGCGTAACCTTTCATCCAAAACAATTACTAACTATACTCCCAGGAATCTGATAAGAAGATGGTCAAGAGTCCTCCTAAATTAATCTAATCATCGAAGTGTCAACAATGGGTAAGTAGGTTCTTCACAATATCTTATAATGTTTCATATTGTTATAGAAGATTTATTTGTTATTATTTATACAGTTGTAAATATCAATAAATTAATAAAAAAAAAAGCATTTTTCTAAATAAATTTATAATGTTATAATTATTTAAACCCTTGTTCACATCAACATAGTGTGTATCAGATAAGAATTATTTATCTAAATTTATCATGGGGGTTGCTACAAAGTATGATAATCATTCAGGATTTCCTTTAACTATTTCATTATTTCATCATGATTACACAGATTGAGTCTAATCCCCGATAAACTGATAAACGAGTTTATAATGAACTGCGAAGAAAATAAAGAGATAAGTGTAAATATGCTTGCAGTGGTGTTGTTGTGTGGGGTTTGTATTTTCCTCCATCCTTCAGTGAATGCTCGTTCTATTGATAATGATGATGATATTTTCGATAATTCAGGTTTGATTGATCACGGCGTGGTGGCAGGTATGTCGCTACATTTAAATTTTCTATTATATATATATTATTATGGTATGGAATAGTGATAAAGGTTATATGTATAAATAATTAACAGAAACCATATCATAATAAAATTTATTATGTATTTGTTAATATTATGAAACGAGGCAGAAATGAGCGGTGTCAAGCTCAATGGTAAATCTTTTCAGAAGTTCCAAACTGCACGATGTACTGTTTATGAATCACATGATTCGCAGCTTCTCTAATATCAATATAGAGTGCACCACCTGGCACCAAATTGGCGAGGACCAGACAAGTAGAGATAGAAAATGGCTCACTCATTTGGATTATTTAAATCGTCAAGAAATATGCATCCTTTAGTACATCAACTTTCAACGATTGAAGTTATGAACGGCAGGCAAATGAGCTTTTTTGTATGTAGATAAGATTAAGCAGAAACTAAGTGTTAAAGTGAACTAGGACTCATTAGATTTATTAGCAATTAAAGAAATAATGACCAATCTCATTATTAAATGTATAATTACAAGGCAGGTATCTCCAGTTCGCTTAACGGCGGACCAGCCTCCATTTTACAAATTATTGAACTGTTCATTTAATTTTATAACTTTTTTTTTCCTACCCTTCCTCGCCTTTTAGGCTAGACGGGGGTTTCCCTGGCCAGAAGGAAGGGCGGGTTATTAATACCAGAATTATAAAACCCCACCGGCATCGGGAAGCAAACTCGTTCGTAAAGTAATTATTTTATTATCTATCATTCGGTTATCAAGTAGCTCGACAACGAGCGGAGATGTGCACACGTTTTAGCCCACTCGACCACCCCGCTTTTAAATTATATATTTATAATTTATATGTATTCTGTAGTTCAGATATATTTTTTATCAACATAAAACACAACATTTTTCGTACAATTTTTTTAGTCTAAAATTTTTATTTTGTATTAGGTGAACAGGAAGTCACAAGAGGTTAACGTTATGTAATTAAATGAACAGCTGTATAATTTGTAAAGTAATTTCAGAGGTCGTGTTATATTTTTTTTTATTTATTTATTCATGATATTTACAACTGTATTAATAAATAAAATACATTTAGCAAATTTGATAACAGAAAATAATAACATGAAATCACTTGTTGAGAAACTACCCACTGATATCACTCTAAAAACAAAATGTATTTACAATAAGAGATCTCGAGGCCATCTTCTTTTCAGACGC